GTTAATTTGTAACTCTGTTAGTCTGTTAGCATTAAATTTCCAAACGAACAAGAAGCCTACCCCGATAACCTAACGATTAATGAGTTATAAAAAATTGTTAACTATCGTCCATTTGCAGCCCACCACACCAAAGAAAGCATATACTAAGAAGGGAAAAAACTATATATCTATTCTACTATTCTAGTGTTTCAAGTGATATGAGAACGCAGGCTGTTAGAAATCAGGCCCTTTATATTCACTTCACTGCAGCAACAGAATAAGAAGAAGGAGAGTTGTTTATCGACTCAAAACGGCTGCATTAATATTCAGAAAACTAAAGGCTTTTTATAGCCTACAAAACCTAATTGAACTAACCAAAAACAAGCACACGTTTTACTCTTTTCCAGCACTAAACCTATCATTCTAAAAGCCCCAAAAGACTTGGTCCACATGACCCATTCAACCCATGAACTACTATCTTTTATTCATTTACTAAATAAAACTAATACTAAACTAAAAATAACATCTTATGTCAAGATTAAACCCAACATTCACCCCCTTAATCTTGACAATCTTGATATTTGCTTCTCTTGCTATAATCTTGCTTGCAACCGGCCTTCTCCTGCTTGTTAATCACTTGCTGCTTGCTTCTTCTTTCTTACCTGCTAACAAACAACAAACTTGCTGCATCTTTCTTCTGATTAACAAACATGTGCTGCCTTGCTGCTTATCTTTCATTCTTGCTTTCTTTCTTGTCTGCTACTTGATACAAACTACTTTCTTTTCTTGCTTCTTGCTTTCTAACATAGAACATACTTAGGCTCCTTCTTGCTTTCTTGCTTGCTTTCTTTCTTGCTCCCTTGTCTTGCTCCCTTGGTCTTCTCTTGCTGAGAACCCTTCTGCTTACTTCATCTTGTTGCTTGCTTTCTTCCTCAATAGCCATTTTTTGCTATCTCTGGGATCGAACAACCACAACCGGACTTTCATCTGTCAACACCATTGTGAGCCATTAGCACCACAGCAGAAACCGGAATACACCACAGCCGAGAACCACCCTCGTTTGATCCTCTTTCTATGTTTCTTTCTTTCTACAGAAAGCAACAGCCAACAGGTTGCATGTCACAATCTTCTTTCTTTCTTCTTTCTTCTTTCTTTCTTTCTTTCTATCTTCTTTCTTTCTTTCTGTCTTTCTTTCTATCTTCTTTCTTTCTTTCTTTCTTTCTTTCTTTCTTCTTTCTGGCGGTCTTGACTGCAACATCAATATATTGGTTCAGCCCCTGCAACCATCATCTTCTTTCATTCTCAGCCCTGCAGCCAAGGGCTGCTCCTCCTCTCTCGCCACCGACTCTCAAACCTGATTCTTCTAAACGAGCCCTAGGCTCTGATACCAATTGTTAGAAATCAGGCCCTTTATATTCACGTCACTACAGCAACAAAATAAGAAGAAGGAGAGTTGTTTATCGACTCAAAACGGCTGCATTAATATTCAGAAAACTAAAGGCTTTTTATAGCCTACAAAACCTAATTGAACTAACCAAAAACAAGCACACGTTTTCCTCTTTTCCAGCACTAAACCTATCATTCTAAAAGCCCCAAAAGACTTGGTCCACATGACCCATTCAACCCATGAACTACTATCTTTTATTCATTACTAAATAAAACTAATACTAAACTAAAAATAACATCTTATGTCAAGATTAAACCCAACACAGGCTACGGATATTAAAAACCGAAAAAACCCTAACTATAGGATTGAGCCCATATACAACAAGTGAACCCAAAATAAATAGAAAATTCAAGTTATAAATCCATTCATATCGTCAAATTCCACTTCATTGTAACATCATGTTGGCTTAATTTATGTTTATTTGTTTGTATAGAGATCTTGGATGTGATTGAGTGGGTCTTACATGTGCATAGAAAAAAGGGTTTGTTGATGAAGACACAATCTACAAATTTATTTATTTAATCATCTGGAAATGTTGGTGTCGTTGTGGAAAAGTTGTGATCCAAAATGATATGAAAAAAAAACATTCACTACTAGAAAAAACGAAAATACCTACAGCAAGATCTGTAGGTATTCAAAAATCAACAAATCATCGGATGGAGAGTGTCGGATACCAAGAGCTAACAGAGAAGCTCTCCCTAGATGTATGAAGGGTCTCGATAAGAAACGAGACAGAGTAAAAGAGATACTCTTGCGGTCATGAGAAGCTGGGTGACATAGTTGCTGAAGCTGTGCTGAGAATAATCTGTTGTGCCAAAAATATATCCAAATATCCAAACTGCGGTGCCGGAACACTTGAAGTGGTCTTCAATAGAGAATAAAGTCCACATGCTCAAGATACATGATTCGTCAACCAAAAATCAAGAGCGACAAGTCATAAAATCCCATAAAGTGAAGAATGTGAAACAACTTTGTTGATCAATCGCCGTTGCGGTGCAAGCATCACCAAAAATAATATGAAGTCCGACTGCGGTAGGAATATTCTTCCAATAATAATAACCGGCATGAAATGAACCAATGTGACAATTCAAGGTTCGGTTGTGGCAAAAATTGGTGTTAAAAAATAATTGGCGTAATAAAAAAAAATTGGTTTAAATAAAAAAATGGCTAAATAAAAAAAAATTTGCTAAAATAAAAAAATTGGTGTTAAAAAAAATAAATGGATAAATAAAAAAAATTGGTTGGAAAAAAAAATTTAATTAAAAAAATAATGGGGAAAAAATCTGAATAATAAAAAAAAGATAAAGTCTAGAAAAAAAAGAGGGTTTTAAAAAAAAGGAGGGGAGGGGAGGAAAAAGAAGGAGGAAAGGAGGGGGGAGGAGGAGGAGGGAGGGGCTGATGAGAGGGAAGGGAAAAAAAGAAGGGGCTGAAGGAAGAAGGAAGAAGAGAGGAGGAGGGCCGAAGGCTGCTGATGGAGGAGGGAAGCTGAAGGTTGTGGGTCAGGAGGTGGGTGCGGATGGAAGGGTTCTAGGGTGGTTGCGGATGAGAGAGCTGGATAGGGTGGGAGGTGGTTGCGGTCGAAGAAGGGTTGGGTGCGGATGGTGAGCTGGGCGCTGATGGGGTAGTCAGGTACCGAAGTCAAAGCAAGGAGTTGCGGATGGAGCAGCTGACTGCGGATGCGAGCTGCAGTAGGAGCGCCTGTGGTCCGAGCCAAGAAGGAATCCGAGGTTGCGGTCTTGAGTGACTTCGGTCAGCAGAAAAAGGTAAGGGAGGGCTGCGGTTTTTCGGCTGCTGACCTCGGCTGCGGATAGAGGCCTGAGAGGACCTCGGCTCAAGGCTAAGAAGTGGCTGCGGGTAGGCTTCTAAGGGGACTCCGGTAGGCAGTTTTTGGCTGCGGTCCGGGGGGCTGAGAAGGGCTGAACAGGTGACGAAAAATGCTATTTTTTCATGAAAAATGGTACCACAAAGGCCATTTATTCATATTTTAATGAGGGAATCTTTTTATAAATCATTTTAAGTCAACATGTGGTCTTGGGAAGGCAAAAAGGAAGAGTGTGCATGGGGTTTTAGGGACAAAAGGTGATGGGAAAGGACAATGTCACATGGTTTTTGTCTTTTTGAGGGAGCAAATAGTGGAATATTCTTTACCCAAAAGAGTAAAAAGGACAAAGTGCTTTATGCAAACAACAACTTACGTCCATATTTCTTCAAATTAAGATTCACAGCAAGAATAAAGAGGAATAAAAGCTTCATACCTCCAGAAGATTTCCAAGCTGCTGGGTAAAAAAAAGAGCACCGCTTCAAAGAAAATAAGCCCATTAATTGTGTCTTCTCATCCAAGAATAAAAGAACTTCTGGAGCAAATTCTTCAACAATTTGGAGACCACAAAATTAATTTCTTCTCCCATTTCTTCATTTCTTTAACAGCAAAAATAATAAACTTTTAAGAACATCTTCTTCCAGCAATAAATAGAACGAGCAGCAGCAGCAACAATTTATTTTAGAGTGAGAATCACCCAGAAAATAGAACTAAGAACGAACTTCATAAAAAAAATTCCGGTAAGAAACCCGAAAATTTTTTCTTGCAGAAACACGGAAAAATCACAAGATAATCACCGAACGGGAGTCGTTCCCTTGAAATAATCGTGAGATCTTCAAGGTACGGCTCTGATACCAAATGTAGAGACCCATTTTTATAACGAACGGTGAGTGCGAAAGAAGGATATCTCGAGATTAATCGTGTTTTTGGAAGTATGAACACCAAGAACATATTATGAGTTCATAAGAAAAGACCAAGAACAAGAGAGAATAAAAATATTATTCATGAAGATCATGGTGGGAGAGAGAAACTTTCCCTTGGTGGGAGAGATCCCACCAATTCTCTCTCTCTAGGATTACATGGTAAGAAAAGTGTACCTCTAAGAAAAGTAAATGAGCTAGCTAGCTCATAAGATATTACCAACTCTCCCTTTATATAGGAGGGAGAGTATTTACACCATAAATACATAAAGGGAAAATACAACCTAATAAACACTCATTATTTGTGGAGCATTTCCATGCACCAACAGGTAATATACCGACGGAATACCTACGGCGAGAAATTGCGATGGAATATCGACGACGGATACTTACCTACAGATTATCGACAGAAGTCATTTGCTACGACATTGCGACGGAATACCTATGGAATATAGTACAGACGGAATACCTACGGAAAAAAATATCGACAGAATTGTGACGGATTACCTACGGAATTCCCTTTTGACTGGTATGGACTTATTTATCGACGGGCGTGCTTACCGACGACATTTCTGTCGGTATTCCGTCGGTAATAGTCATTTTATTTAATTATTAAATTTAAATATAAAATATTTCCATTTTTTTTTTGTCAAATATGCAAGATAAGTAAACACAAACATAATAACACTACAATTAAGGTTTCAAAATACATAAAAAGTGTTCCAAATACACCAATTTTGCAAAATAAGTGGACACATTCATTTGTTCCATTGTCACAACATTCATACCAACTAAAAATTAACAAACATTCATTCCAAATACCAACATGCATAACTTATACACCATCCTCGGGTGGAGTATGAGGTGGAGTATGAGGGGGATCATTGGCTTGATTTGTTGTACCATTCATCATCCTCGCCATCCTTTCCATTTGTTGTACCATTTGTTCTTGCAATTGTCGCATGTTAGAAACTTCTTCACGTAACCTATCAATCTAAAAAATGATAATAACAATGTACTTGAATTTATTATAACAAAATAGCAATGTACTTTTGTTTTTAATCAATTGTATCCATAATAACAAAATACTACTTAACTTTCAAACCATAATAACAATGTACTTTTGTTTATTATCAATGAAATCCATAAGCACAACAAACCACCTGACTTTTAAACCATAATAACAATGTACTTTTGTTTTTAATCAATTTTATCCATAATAACAACATACCTCTTCTTGTGTGTTGTTGTTGGATTGGGTGGACCGGGTAGATTCGGAAGATGTTATCCCAGAAACCACAAAATTGGCATCCGATGCTCCTATACCATAGATATGACCCTTCTTTTTTCCTCTTGTTCTCCGAATTTGGCTTTCAACCCATACCTCTGCATCGTGCCTATGGTTTGTCGGGTCTTCTCCATATTTCATCACTAACCCCTCTAGATATGCATCCTACAATTTACCAAAACAACACCCTTGTCATATACAAAAAATTGAGACAATCAATATAAAAAATAATGTACTTTTGCATCTTTGGCTATTTCAGAGCAATATTCTATATTTTCACGTTCTCCCTCGAAATATCTTTTCTTCGACTCACTGGTGCCATGTGTCTTCACGTATAGATCACAAAATTCGGGATCTTTACCCAGCTGTGCTTTCTACATAATAGACAAAGTATAATTGATGCAGTAATATGAATGTATGTGTAAATGTGTATGTGTAGGTGTATGTATGTATATGTACATATGTGAATGTGAATGTAATTTTAAAGTGTGAAAGGAGCAACGGATAAAAATGAGTACGCCACTATAAACATCTAGGTATCATGTATAACTCGATGATAGTATAGATAATCATGTATAATAGAGGTGCGAAAAAAACGAAACGAAAAAAACGACGTCCGGTGCCCGAAATTTCGAAAAAAAAAAGTTCGTAGGTAATCCGTCGGAAATTACCGACGGAATAGCGACGGATATCCTCTTCCATAGGTAATTACCTACGGAATACCTACGGAACAGGCCATTCGTCGCTATTCCATCGGTAATTTCCGACGGATTACCTACGAATATTTTTTATTTTTGACATTTGGGGCACCGGATGTCGTTTTTTTCGCTTCGTTTTTTTCGCACTTCTATTATACATAATTATCAATACTATTACCAAGTTATACCTAATATATATGTGTGTATAACCATGTGCACCTATAGATCCGTTACTCCTTTCACACAGTTACTTCTTTCACATACATTCACACATACACACATATGTACATATTCATACATACACATACACAATTACAAAAACAATCACATATACCCATAGACACATACATTCATACAGGTTGGTCAATGTGTTTATGTATGGATATATGTATGTATGTGTGTACGTATCTATGAATGTATGTGTATGTATGTATATATGTGTATATGAATCTATGTGTGTGTGAATGTGCGTCTAAGATTGTATGTGTGAATGTATGTTTTTATGGGTATATATGAGTGTATGTGTAAATGTGTGTAAATGTGTATGTGTAGGGGTATGTATGTATATGTACATATGCGAATGTGAATGTAATTTTAAAGTGTGAACGAAGTAACGAATAAACATGAGTACGCCAAAAAAACTCGGTGGCGTACTCATTTTTATCCGTTACTCCTTTCACACTTTAAAATTACATTCACATTCGCATATGTACATATACATACATACACCTACACATACACATTTACACATACATTCACATATCCCCATACACACATACATTCACACATACATTCATACATACATCCACACGTACATTCATAGACACACATTCACACATACATTCATAGAGACACATTCACACATACACATACATTCATATACACACATATACATACATACGCATACATTCATACATAATAATAATAATAATAATAATAATAATAATAATAATGGTAATAATAATAATAATAATAATTGAAATAATAATAATAATAATAATAATAATAGTAAAAAATTAATAAATGACGGATTTGTGACGGAAAGTATACAAATTAGTCTATTTGTCAGTGTCGTAGCTATTCCGTCGGTATTTACCGACGGATTTCCGACGGATGTCAACATCCGTCGGTATTCTGTAGCTGTTCCGTCACAATATCGTAAGTAATTTAGGGCAACGTTTTCCATAGGTAATTTCCGACGGAATTTTTCTGTCGGTAATTTTCGTAGGTATTTTCATTTTTTCTAGTAGTGATTATACAGTTTTTCACTACTACAAAGCAGTTTAGCAGTTTAAATAACCTGCAGGTTAAATTATATATAATAACCGCAGTTTCGCAACCAGGTTTGATGTATGCGACACATCAAAAGTGGAAAAAACATAAAGATGCCCTAATTATTTCTTTGTGGACATAAAATCGACCCGCTTTCTTCACAAAAACAGAACTTACAAAACACTTTACTTATTAATCTCTTTATTATCTACACAATGAGTTCAAAATTGAAAGTTGAAAAATACGTAAATCTCTATTCTAATAAATGAATAAGTTTATTCTTATATTGACAAGTCTCATTATATTAGAAGTCCTCGTTAATATTATATGTCTCATATAATGACACTTGTCAACATATTAATTATCCATTTCAAATTTTAAATTTTCCACCTAATTACATTAAATTTTAATTTCAAAATTTAAATTTTTTCACTTTAATTGTATTAAATTAATAACATTAGATTAACAAATAAAATAAAATTAATACAAATTATAAGGTGGTATAACTTTATGTATTTATTTAAATCAACCATCATAATTTTATATAACTAAAAAAATATCTCTTAAATAATAATTTATTTAAAGTAATTGATTAATAATTTTGATTTTTTAATCTGAAAGTTTAATTAATTTTATAACCGTGGTTCTCATGGATTATAAACTAGTAAAATATATATAGTTTGCTGTGATGAAAATAATATATATGTGAATTTTGCATCATCAAAATGACATTAACCGTTAGAACCATCTTAATTAATTAATATTGTAAAGCTGTGTAGTTACTGATTTCAAAAGTGAAAACATTAACTAAACACATTAAATTTTATTCATGAATGATGTATTAAGGAATTAAACATTATAAAACTTTTCAGAAGTGACAGGAGCAAACACCCTCTATACAGGATCCATAGCCAGCGCGACAAAAAGGTTGGCAATCACTATCCTTATGACATGGGCTGGGAATCACGCGATCGCTCATATCATCACCATTGTTTTTAGATGTAGATTTCTGGGTCACCACATATTCTCTCTCATTGGAAGCATATGACATCTGCATACCTGAAAAGTGTATCTCGTTAATTAGCTTTGAACTCTGAAACTGATAGTTTATCAAACTATAGATCGAGGGAGAGAAAAAAAATGTACCAGATATGGCAAGCAATAATGCGACCATAAAGACTATCTTCAGTGAACTTCTCCCCATATTTTGACAAATATGATACGCCTCAAAGGAATAAACTTCTTTCTGTACGTAAGATGATCTACTGCCTATGAAGATATATATACAGAGAGAAATTTCATAGTAATGATACAAAAAAGGTATCCAAATAATCAATGCTAATAGCTACAGTTTTCAAGAATATTTATGTTAGGAAACGTACCTAGAATTAATCTTGTCATTAAAATTTTTGATCTTTTAGTATCAATAACATATTCATCCTACCTATAATTACGGGCTCAAAACTAGAATTCTTCCTTCCGATCAGCCTTCCAAGAATTTTCTGTCCCATATCCCATTTGTTCAATGTTGTCTTCCTCCCTTCTCCATCCTTGTAATCACCATATTTTACTTTTTACTTCTCCATCCGTTTTGTCTCTGTTATCTCTGTATGTTCGATTCCTTTCCTCTTCAGTTTCATTGTTGCTCGATGCATGAGGTAAATCAAATAATCAAATAATGTGGTCAAACCATAGAACTTAATTTTTGGTCGTTTGATTAAAAAAACAAATTCATAAGATTAACTAAAAGAAAACATGCTTTCACACAAAATTTGTGACGGAATCATACGGATCTCCAACAATAGGAGACAGTAGATAATTACGCATTTCCAATTAGCACATTCCGGACAGATTAGTTTATTTAGTCCGTCGCTGATCTATCACAACAGTTTAGAATCCAAAAAACAGATTTGTAATGGAATTTCGTATTATTTAAAATTTGTCACTAATCCTTCTATGATCTTTTTCTTTTAGTTAAAATTTTCGTCTGTAATCTATTGCTAAAATTATCCTCGACAGAGTTTAAAAAAATCATCGTAATACACACATCCATTGCTAATACATCACCTATAATATCCTATAGAAAATAAATAACCCACAAAAGTAAATAAATATATGTTTTAGTATATTGAGGTCCGTGTGTGTATATATGGGTTGATTAAAAAAAAGTTAAATATGAAGTGTAAACATTAAGTATGTTTAATGAAATTTCAAAATAAATACAACAAAAACAATGAACAAGTAAATATTTTAATCTACATAAATAAATAAATAAATAAACTAATGACATACTTAAAGAATTTTCACGAATCATAATTTATAAAGACCTCTTTGAATTTGGGAATTTTGAATTTTTAAGGAAAATAAGTCGATTACTGAATTGAGAAGCAAACTGACTCTGATTTTTTAAAATTGAAAGACATTTATTACATTAACAATAGATAAAGGAAATAATAAAAAGCAAAACAAAACTCATAAAATATCATGTGGAAAAATTTAATTGAAAATAATCAGAAAATAATACGAGACAAAATCAATGAGAATGAGACATATAGTAAAAAATATTTTCATTTATTAGTGCAGATAGAATATGTTTGACAAGTCATTAATTCTTTGTGTTTTATGTGAGATGCACTACTTCCAGTCACCTTTCCCGTAATTAGATCAATCAACATTACGACTGGAATTAGTGATAAATCTTATTTACACATTCATAACAATGACTATGAATAGAGGTATAAGTTACACTTAAAATCTTAGTAAACGTAACTTAACTTAAATGGAGTTTCTAGCGGAAACCGATATTTGCACTGGCAGAACCTCGACCCAAGAGCTTCTACTAGTCGAGCCTAGTTGCTAGAGCTTCTCTAGACTAAAATACTCTGAAATTCCGAAGAAAGGCCCCACTAATAGAGGTTAGATGTTGAGAGAATGTTTAGAATGTGTGGGAGTGGAAATAGGGATGGAACCTATTTATAGGCGAGAATATGGGGTTGCGCGCCACACATGGCCATGTGCTGTAACATCCATGTTTCCTGGTAATTTTCAATTTCGGCTTACAATTTAAAAAGATTGCATTTTGGTCCTTACACGGGGCGTACCCTATAGGTACGTCATGCATAATTCGTTAAATGGGTGATGGGGCTCTTTTGAGTATGCAGGGTGTACTCATGCAGGTCTCAAACCCCAATTTTTAGGGTTTGGACCATGTTTAAAGGACCTTAAGCCCATTGAGACCTCCTACCTTCAACCTCCACTCCCTCATTCCCTAATTTTGAAACCCCAACCCTTGAAAGTTTGTTTTGGACCTGTAGAATGATCTTGGTGCATTGTGGAAGAAGGAGTTCATTATTAGTGATTGGTGAGCTTGGAGCTCATAGATCTAGAGTCTTATTTCCTTTTTCCTACTACTGGAGGTATAAAGCTCACACCTTTATGGTTAATTATTTGGTTTAGATCTAGGTTAGGGTTTAGATTTGCATAACTTTTGGTCCATGGTTTGGTTCTTGTGAATAAACGCTACTCCAGGACTCAAGTTTGCTACTTTATGATGTTTTTAAGCATCTTGAGTCATAAAAAGGAAGTCCTTGTTGTTATTTCTCACTCATGCTAGAGTTTGAGATTATTTAAGGGTGTTATGGACTTAGGGTTTGGTGTTGGGCTCTATTAAGCCATCGAAAAGCTTAAAGTTGTTAAATTTATCAATTAAGACCTTCTCAATATCAACATCTGTGAGTTGAACATTCAGTATTTAAGCATTAAGAGCTAAAAAGTGGTTTTGGACAACAGGCGGTTACGCAGGGCGTAACCCCTGAGTACACATGACGTAGTGGGTTTTGCCCCCATGACCTTTTCTAAGATCTCACAGTATGTAGGGTGTAATGAGTGAGTACGCATGGCGTACTCCCAAAAGTTCATTTGGGACATTTTTTGGCCTTGGTTCATTATGGGTTTTAGGTCATGTATGGGAATGGCAAATTGGTTTACCCTTAGTATGATAGAAGATGATTTGGACCATTGATTATGGGTTAATACCTTGATTATTAATTAGGGTTGATTTTGGGATATGTTCGGTGCGAGGAGCCATGGTAGCAGTAGCTCGAGTGTATGATTCGGTTATCTTCAGTTAGAGGTGAGTCTTTTCACTGTGCTTGTGGTTCAAAGGCACCAATGTCGGCCCATTAGATTGGGTATGTAGGATGCTAGCTATCTTTGTAACGTGCGCGCATGACGTTTTTCAGATTTTCAAAATTGCATAACTTCTTCATACGAGCTTTGCTTTTTACGTTCTCTATATCCACAGGAAGCTCTCGACAAGATTTACAACTTTTCATTTATACTCTATCTGCTAATTTGATTTTATTTATTTTAGATAGGCTTAGATTGTTAAAGTCGGTATAAATCACATAACTCTCTCATCTGACGTCTGTTTTCGACTGTGTTTATATTGATGAGTTCCTGTCAACGAGATCTTCAACTCTCGTTTAGATTATTTTGACTATAATTAACCGTTCTAAATTTTGATATCAGTGTGCATACTGTTGCATTGAATCTTAGAAAAATCATAACTCCCTCTAATGAAGTCAGATTTAGATGTGCTTTATATGCACACTCTCAGTTTAATGACTACTACGACTATTGTGTAGATTGCTTTGGCTAAAAAGTAATATATCAAAATTTTACTTTTTACGATACACTGAGTCATATCGGTTTTATCACGAAACTTCAAAGAAGCATAACTTTTTTATATGAAGTTGGATCTACGCGTTCTATATATCTATGGAAGTCGCATTGCCGTTTCCTACATGTTTATGAAGATTATTTTGGCTTAAGAGTAATATATCTTTGTTTCGTATTTTATTACAATGTACGGCTATAATAAAAAAAGGGTGTTACAAACAAATATTTAAAAATAATTTTTGTAAGATACATGTTCATCCATTAAGATTAATTCAATGGACCAAATTGCATCCTTGTTGTAGAAAGACATTTACTTCCATAAGTTTATCACGCAAACTTTGAAAGTCAAGTCATCATCCCTGAGTACATCCACATCAACTATCAAAGTAACATTTGGTGCAACCATTTCTTTGCAAACATATGAAATTATATAAATGCATAAGGTGCAAGATTAATAATAGTAAAGGGCATAATTGTAATTTATATTAAAAAAATATATTAACATTTGTATATTTTTTTAAACAGAATATTGACCTGTTTGACCTTTGGCTAAAGATCGAGGTCTTGAAAATTCAATTGATATTATATGTACATAATTAATGCATCTTACCATAAAACCTACATGCCACTTAACAATCCAAACATAAGCACAATTCAATTTCATGAAAGTAGAATGGCATTTCATGAAAAAGTATTAAGTTTTTAATTTTAAAGAAACAATTTTAAATGAACATGTACATCAAAAACAACCCCCATATGGAATGAGAGAGTCATTGTAACAAAATTATGAAAATCAAATATAACGACATTGCTATAACTGGAAAAACACAACCCCTGGCCATGCTATGTTTTTTATCAAATCAAATGAAAGTACATTGTTGTAAATGACAAAACAAACCCTATATGGTCGTTTATATTGTTTTTATTCAATTGAAGAAACATCCGTAAAAATTGAAGAAAAATACCCAATCTGGAGTGAGAGAGTCATACTAACAAAATACACTTTCGGAACATAAAATAAACAAATAAAATATGTATATAATAAAAAAATAGCAATATATAGCAATGCACTTTAATAAAACATAAATGTACAAAAAAATGGAATTAAAGTCAAAATAAATAAAAGTAGTGAAACATCCCAAAAATTAAGGTTAAAATTTTCATTTTCATTATAATCAAAACACTATTGTAACTTGTTCAAAACATTGGAAAGCATTTCAAATAAAACAATTATCAGAGTTCAATCCCAAAGATCACATTTTGCAGAAACCGCGGGTGTATGCGCTGCGATCGTCCCGAAATCTTCATTTGAAAACTCGAGTACCTGAAACATAAACTGGAAACCGTAAGCACAAAGCTGAGTGAGTTCCCCAAATACCACATACCATACAATAAACATATAGTGGGCCCCGCCCGTCATCGGACCCCGTCCGGCATCGGGACCTGCCCGGATACTACCGAGCATATCTGGGTGTTGGCCTCCCCTTCGTTCTATTTAAACCAGATAATGTCGAGCATATATGGGTGTTGGCCTACCCTTCAGTCTATTTCAACCGGATATTGGGTC